AATCGAGGCAAAAGGAAATGAACTTGTGTAACACTGGTGTAGGTGTTGGAACCAGCAAAGCAAAAGCATCGCTTTGCCCTTTAGGTTTCCATGGAGTGATTGCCCAAAACACATGGTAACAAGCTTATTGCTAGAACTCTCTTCTTCCTTTTAAATGTTTTAAAACGTTGCTTGTTGGTCTGCTGTTTGAAATGTACACAAATGAAATTGTATTTTCTCCCATTGGTACCTATAAAAACATACACAGTACACCAAAATCTGCAATCAGAAATCCAGTAGTGGAAGTAATACACATTGATCCGTAATTGCATGAAGAGTAAGGAAGAATCCTTACACAATCCTTACACATAGAATCGCAGGGCTAAAAGGGACCTCAGAAGTTATCTAGTCCAATCCCCTGCCCAAGGCAAGAGTTCTTATACCATCTCGGACCAATGGTTATCCAAGTCTTTCCTTGAAAACCTCCAGTGATGGAGCACCCATAATTCCCTGAAGCAAGCTGTTTCATTGATTAATTGTTCTCATTGTCAGGAAATTTCCTGGTTGAATCTCTCTTTGTTGAGCTTCCACAAAACCCTTTAATGGTTTGGTTCCCTTTTTTAATTTCCCAGGTTTGCTGTCCTTGAGATTTTGTTGTTCTTGTTCCTTTCTGTTCTACTGACGTGTGCAACCAACCTAGACTTACAACTGACCTTCTTCCAGTTTTGACTCTAGGTTGGTTGAATAAACTATCCTTTCCTTCTCCCAGATGTCTCCCAATGCTGTAGTGTAGGCATGTCAAACTCGCAATGTCATCTGACGTTGAGCAACGTATCGGGCCGGTTTTGCCATTGCCAGCAATGGGGGGGGGCGCAGCTTCCGTGTGACGCATCCGGCCCACGGGCTGGCAGTTTGACATCCCTGCTGTAGTGTATGACATAGAATGGATAGATGTTTAGTGTTCTCAGCCACTGCCTGAATCACATGTGTTTTTGGATTAGCAACAAAAGATAATTGGTGGCACAATTGGGGTTAGTGCCACGAAAAATAATTTTGGGGAGCATAGGAGAGTGGAAAACAGTAGGGAAAAAAGTGGCCATAGACAATCCACTGAATGGATTGGTGTGGATAGGGGAAAAGCCATCTAGTCCCCAGCTTCTGCTCTCCAGGGTACTGCATCCTTGATTTTCTCCCACTTCTAGTCCACATCTACTTGAAATCACCAGGAGTGGTCATTCCTGCTCAAGGGACAAGTGGCAGCTGTGAAAAAGAATGCTTTTGCCCAAATCCACCTCGTGCCCTTGTTATACCCTTTCCTAGATAGAGTTGCTCAAGTCCACTCATGCCTGATGCTTACCACCTGGATTACTGCAATGCACTCTAAATGGGGCTGCTCCTGAAAAGCACTTGGAAGTTTCAACTTGTCCAGAATACACAGTACACCCATATAACACCACTGTTGTCTCCCAGTACAGTTTAAAATGTGGTTGTCACATTTAAAGCATGGGACCAGATTAAGTAAGCCTCTTTTTATCATTCCATGTAATACTGGTTACCTGGTAAATTTGTTTACTAAATAAATGTTCCCTCAAACTTAGAAAATGTAAGGCTTGCTTAATCCCCTATGCAGTTTTTTTCTACACTATTTCCAGACAAATGGTGGGTCTGGTTTTAGCACTAAATCTAATACTCCTAATTGGCTGGAGTTAGCCCAATGACCTGCTATCCTTCCTCGGGACTTAGTCAAGTGTGTCTTTTGAAGAGGCCTAAGCCATAATGTGACTACTTTGATTTTAGATGGGAACTCAGCCGATGTCTTTTGTAAACAATGGCTCATGTTTTAATATATGCTGTGGATCTGATTAATTGTGGTTTATTCATCGAACAATTAAGCAAATAATGACTTATTGAACTGCATAGATCAGGGGTCTTCAAACTTGGCCTGGCTGAGGAATTCTGGGAGTTGAAGTCCACAAGTCATAAAAGGGCCAAGTTTGAAGACCCCTGGCATAGATCCATGCTATAGGTGTTTATTTAAGCATTGCTTTTGTACTGCATTTTGCTGTATTTGTACCTGATAAATTCCATTCATAATTCAAAATATAATTTTAAAATAAATGTGGACGTGGGTGGTATTCTTGCAGCCAAACATCACCATCTGTGCCATGGCTGCTTCTATACTGGAGCGCTAACTACTATTATGAAGCAGAATTAGGTTCACACTTAGGTTCCCAGGGAGAGTGATAAAAATGTCCTGCTTTCCAACTTCTCTAGCGGCAAGCTGGGTTAAAATATGTGTTACCATATTCCAATTTTCTACATGTTGCAGAAATTGTTAATACTATCCCCATTGCTACAAAGCAATTTCAATGTAAAATCATACAGCTGGAGTGACTATGATAAGACCATTTAGTTCTCAACCTGTGGGTCGGGACCCCATTTGGGAACGAACGACCATTTCACGGGGGTCGCCAAACGCAGTCCGCCATTTTTTTCCCACTTTTCCTTAGCTGTGCTACTCCCTTTTATTCTATTGGCTTTTGAAAGCCAATAGAATAGACTCTCTTGAATAGAGTCTAATTCTATTGGCTTTCAAAAGCCAATAGGAATTGTCCAGGCTGTCTCTGCCCTGCTGAGCCCGCCAAAAGCCCCAGTCTGCAAACGGTGCTGCAAGTTGTCTGCAGCAAAGGGGATCTGTCTGGAAGCTTCCACCCCTCCCTGCTGAGCAACTACTAAAAATGTAAGTAAAAGAGGGCCAGGGGTGGGAGGCCGGTGGGCGCAGGGAGGGTTGCTGGCGCGCGTGGGGCCTGGCGGGTGCCTTACCTCCCTTGGGCTGGGCCAGTTGGTGGCCCAGCTGGTAGTCGGCCTGCGCTGTCGCTGCCCCTTGCCAGCTACGCCTCGGCCAGCGCAGGGGGCGGCACCACGCATGTGCGGCGCTCCTGGGCACGGTAAGTCCTCGACTTACAATCGGTTGGGTAGTCCTCGACTTACGACCAGTTGGGTAGTCCTCGACTTACGATCAGTTGGGGGTCGCGGCATTAAAAAGGTTGAGAACCACTGATTTAGGTCAATTCTCTGCTTTGAATGAACTCCCGAGTTAAAACACTCTTGACAGATGGCTATCTAGCTTCTTTGGCAAGTCTTCCAATGAAGAAACGCCCATTACTATCTGGTAAGCCAGAGTAGTAGTACATGCACATTGGCATATCATTTCCTTTACACATTGCTCATTAAAACAACACAGGAGCCTTATTTGAGATTCAGTGTTTTATCTAAACCTGGAGTAGCTGTTATTCTGCATATGCAGGAACCAGAATTTAAAACCAAGAACTGACATGAGTTTAGTTCTGATTTCTACTAATCCTAAATGGTGACTACTTTGGGTTCCAATGAGGAGCTAAGCCTTAGATAAGCCTTCAAATCTCCATCATGGTTAATGAACCAAGGGCGGGTTGATGTAAGAAAGATAGAAATGTGTGCAGCTATGTTTCCTCTTTCCCTTGGTTTATCTTAACTTTATGACTATTATAGGTACTTATACAGGAATATTAGGACAAAGGAGGTTAAAGAATGGACAGAGGTTTATCTTTATGGGTGACAAATGACATTTTTTTTAAATTTATGGCTTGATTGAATAAGGGAAGAAAAACTGTGAATTAGAAAAATGCAGAAAAAAGATTGAAGAAATATATTGGTTTGACTTTCACAAGAGTCTTAAGCTATCCTGAAAAACTACACAGCAAGTCTGTACCACATAGGAAAGTTTTCAGATCCACCTGTTGTAGGACTAGGCCTCTAGCTCTGGGTTTGGAAATATGTGGTCCTCCAGCAATTGCTGAATTAAAATAACATCCCTTAGCTCCTCTAGTTGATACTCATGTAAAATATAATTTAGCCACTGTTAGAGGACAGCAAGTTCTCCAATCTTGCTTAGGGCAATTGGCTTCAAGGAGTTTTAAGTGTAGGAGTCTTTGTAAGGTTATCAACCTTATTCAACCTTGAAAAATTGAGGTTATTAATAAGGCTGTCAAAAGATTAAATTACTTTCAGAATGAATGAATATCTTATGTTCTTTTGAAGGACTTCCAGGACCCATAGGATGAGAGAGATCTACCCTTAAGAAAGCCACCTGATTTGAAAAACAACTGATTTTGTTGCTACTAAAGAAATTTCAACAACTTAACAATACTATAAAAACAAAAGGGGGAGCAGATGTGTGGTCTTATTTGTGCAAGTTGAAATAGAATCAGGAGTAATCACCTCTAGGTAAGATGGGTGGCATATAAATTGAATAAATAAATAAATAAAAATAAAATAAATAAAGGCTTTACATCTGTCAAAGTATTCTCATTCTCTCAGTATGCCATAGCAAACCTATACCAACCTTGGAGGGAGTAAAGATTAATTTCCATCCATTAGAGAGAATGGAGTTACTTGAATGAATCTTGGAAGTATGGGAAATCATAGAGCAGATAGGGAAAATGAAAATGGCTCCTTTTTCATTCATTTTGGATCTGGCAGATCTTCCACTACTGATTGTCCCCCTCTATTCTGTTAGTGCAAAGATAGATTGGTAATTTATTAAAGATAAACAACTACTTATATTACTGAAGTATTTATGTATTTTCAACCCAATATTTTACTACTGAATCAATGAAAACTATCGCTTATTGTTAAAAGAAATAATAATAAAAAATAAACTAATATCTTTTAAAAGGAGAACAAGGTATTCCTTTGAAAAGAACACCTCTGTATCTGTGACAACATAAAAATGGCTCTTTAAATAAACATCCGTCAGGAAGCCAATTTTTTTACTACTTTAAGAAATGCATTTCCTGGTGTCAGATGTGTCAGACTAATTGGAGTAGAAACTGCATTTCATAGCTTCCATATTCTTTCCAGCAGTGAGTATTTCATTGTCACTCTAATGCATTACTAATAAAAGAGTTCATTTGAATGTTATTATGAAACTTTAAAAATGTCCAGGTTAGAGCTTAGCTATAAGAATAAATAATAATGAATGAATTCCTAATAAACTTGTTTATTATTAAAATGCATATTTAAAATATTTTATATTCAAACTGCACAGTATTAAAAAAACAAAATATCTCCAGAAAAATGCCGGCAATCATATTCTCACCTCAGTGGCCCAGTTTGGATGTACCCATGGTTAAGTATTATAAGAAAGTGTTATAACCTATAGTTTAGTGCTAAATCCTAGTTGTAAGGTGTTACTATCGCAGTTTAATGTTACAAGAAAAAACAATGTCTCCCTCTCATTTCTTTCTCTGAGTTTATTTTGAATAGACTTAAGTAAAACTAAATTCACTGAAACTCACTGTCTCAAGAAACAGACTTGTTTCTCATTGTTGGTTTGGGTTTAGAATTAAGCTACAGTTAATGTAAAAACTGAAGGGAAAAAAATCTAATGTTACTGTACTTCCATCAAAAGGAAGAGAAGGCAGGAGTGCATGCTTTGAAATTCTAAACTTGTCCCCACAGTATTAAATGAGGTTAATGTTACATCAGAACTGGGCCTCTCTTTTTCTTCCGCCACTACCAAAAATACATACACAAACCATGATTCAAATAAAGTCCAGGATAATGGAATACCTGACATATCAACAAGCTTACTCTCCCACTCTTGAATCTTAATATCTCTACACAATAAATGAATTTCATCTCAAATATAAAGTAATTCTTTGGTGAAGAACAATTCACAAGAGGATGCCTCGATCAAGACTGATCTTCAGATTCTTCTTCCAAGGTAATGTCTGCTGCAGTTTGAGTGGTCAAGAAGGACTCCCAGGTTGCAAGGCACTTTAAAAAGAAATGAAACAAAAAAATTAACTTGGAAGCTTTGGAATTCTATAAACCATCCTCAAGCTGTTTCTCCTCATCAACTGGACAATAAAGTTAAATTTTATGATGTATACATTTCTCAAATGACAGCAATCATTTTTCTATGAAAAATGGACTGTCTTCTGTACAAAATTTGGGAGGCTTCATGTCCTTGTAACCCTTTAAATTCCTATAAATTCCACCCCATTCTTATGTAAAGCAAAATGGGAGTCCTCTATACTGATTTCTCTGAACTTTGGCCCATTTCATCCTCTCAGCATTCTAATATTTTTTGCCAATTCCCTCTTTTTTGGGGGGGAGGGATTAAAACCAAAAAGGCACATGGTACAATTTCCCATGCCAGATGATAAAGACGGCATGGGATCTGGGATAATCCGAGATGCAAGGAATTACATTTGAGTAGCCCAGAATGTAACTAACTCAATTCTGTAACTCCAGATCTCACCCCCAAAAATCAGAGAATGGTCTTGAAACACCCCTACTGAGTATGATATTAAGTACTAAAATTATGCTTTAAGACAGTGCTTTCCAAACCTGAGTAAATTATCCAGAATTGGATAAAAGTAATTTTTCCTTAGGGAACGGCACCCAAACTCATGATGCAATCACAAGAGGGATATTTAAAGAAGAATTTTCTGATAAGTGATAAATGGAGCTTTCGGATAATTGATTTTGGATAATGAAAAAAAAAATTGAGAGGCACTGCTTTAAGAAGTAATTAACCTGGACAAATAAGGTAGTAAACTATTCTAGATTAACTAACAAGATTTTGTAAGCATACTATGATTATTGCTTTAATTTGGCTCTATTTCATCTAGTTGTAAAAAACAGACTATTGAGCTGAGAAATTCTAAGACAGCCACAATTCTGCTGAGGGCTGGGATGGTCTCATATAGAACAAGTCAAAAGAACACATTATTCCTCTCAGCACAACTACTGTGAGCCAAGGGAACATTTGATTGCTCTCAGCTCAGAGATCTAATATTTACTATGCTGGCAAAGAAATCACCTCACATTCTTAAATACTTCATGATCCTCACTAATGCTCCAGATAGGATTAGGGCATAATTATCATAGTTGCTGATGCCTTGTACACACAGCTGTCTGCAATACTAAAATGTTTTACAGGGTTAACCGGCCATTGCTGAAACTGATGCCATCATTCCTATAAGTTTAGATAATATTTCAATGCAATGTGCAGTTTCAGGCACACTTCTGCAATTTCAGTTTTGCATAGTTATCTTCTGCTGGTAACCTGTAAAAAATTCATGAGTAATTGATTGCAAATTACATATCCAGTAATATAAGAGCCGTGGTGGTGGCACAGTGGTTAGAAAGCAGTATTGCAGGCTAATAATGCTGACTGTCGGCTGTTCGGTTCTCCATGACTCAGCCTGCCTGCCTGCCTTCCTTCCTTCCTTCCTTCCTTGGTTGATAAAATGAGGACTCAGATTGTTGGGAGCAATATGCTGACTCTGTAAACCACTTAGAGATGGCTGTAAAGCACTATGAAGCAGTATATAAATCTAAGTACTATTGCTATTGTTATATATATAAATTAGGAACCTCTGTATCATGTTATTCTCTCCAGTTAGTTTGCATTAATGGCTCTTTCTCAGGATCAAGAGCCATGGTGGCACAGTGGTTAGAATGCAGTATTGCAGGCTAACTCTGCCCACTGGTAGGAGTTTGATTTTGACTGGCTCAAGGTTGACTCAGCCTTCCATTCTTCTAAAGTTGGTAAATTGAGTACCCAGATTGTTGGGGACAATATGCTAACATTGTCAACTGCTCAGAGGGTGCTATAAAGCACTGTGGAACAGTATGTAAGTCTAAGTGCTATTGCTATAACGCCCTTTTTTCATGCTAAGGAACTGGAAAAGAAAGAATTTCAGAGCTGCTCGCCTCAGAAGGAATGGAATTCCACAGCTGATGTTCTCCAGAAGCAAAGCCTAGAGCCCAAGGCTCAGAGATCTACTTTTATGTTCATGTGGCTAATTATGTATCTTGTCAATTGGAGCAGAGCACTTAGCTTAAATAACAAAATAGGTTACAGAAGAATCTGAATTCCCAAACACACATTTGGTTCCGTAAATGAATATAAGTTTAAAAAATTAAGAAGATAGCTCCGCTAAAAATGGAGCGGACAACCATAGTAAGCCAGTGAGTAAATTGGCTCTTCATAACTCCACTCTGGACAACAAGATGACTTAAAATCACCCACAAATGCTCCATACAGTTGCTTCTTGCAAGGAGACTGCAAGACAGTGGTTTCTGATGGGTTTAGAGAACTGGGAGATGAGGGAATAGTCATCTCACTCACACCATAATTTGTGCCTTTAAGGACATTTCACATACTTTTTTGTAATTACTTTCAGAAATTGCTTGTTAACTGCTTTTTGGTTAATAGGAATATCTGGCTCAACAAATTATATAACACCTGGTGATTTGCCTTTAATCCTTAGCAAAAGAAATTTTAAATACAAGTTTCTTGTATTCTTTTTCTTTTGAAATAAACAGCAAAAAGGGTGATTTGACTCTTGATATTGTAAAATTATAAATGAACTAAGGATCGAGACGGATTTGAAATAAGATTTTGGAATTAATTATAAAAATACTTCCCATGGGAAAATACTTTTTAAAAAAATTCTCTTAATAAAAAGGCCTCAAAGGATGAGACTTTGATAGCTGAATTGTTTCAGCTTATTAATCTGAACAGTTGTTGTAATTAGGAAGTTGAGTGCAAATCTATTGTCAGCCAGAAAGACTTTAAGGAAGAGATGGGCATGTCTCATCTTGGTGAATTGCAGATTACAAACACATTTACCAGGTAAACTGGTGGCCTTATTCATTTTATTTAAGCCATAAAATTTTAAGAGATTTCTAAGCTGATTTTTAAAAGGGAGAAGGATGTCAAGGTTCTGCTATAAATATAATATCACTTCAACATAAATATTTAAACTCATAAAGCAGAAAAGGCAGTTATGAGATTCCTGGCCAGAGATCCCATCATAAATTTTGAAAATGCTGACATGCAACTTTAAAAACTAGAGGAGCAGCAGAAACATTACTTTCTTATCTTAATTAAAAAAAAAACAACAGGGTTTTTTTTTCACCTTTTAAAGGCTTCTGAGTCTATATAAAGCAGAAAAAGTGATTTTATTTCTTGCCAAAGTGAATATGAGACTACTGCTAACAGACCCCTTTCTCCCAGGTTCACTGCTCTAACTAGCTTCATTCTCAGACATCTGAATATAACTTCTGCAATTAATCATCCGCTTGGCCAAAGTCCAATAGGCATAGCTGATTCGTTAAAGTGGTGTTTCTCAACCTTGGCAAGTTTAAGCTGTGTGGACTTCAATTCCCAGAGTTCCTCAGCCAGCCAGCTGATCGGGAAATTCTGGGAGTTGGTCCACATACCTTAAGCTTGCCAAGGTTAAGAAATACTGCATTAAAGAGTCAGGGTGTATACAATCAAGCAACTATTTGAACAACAATAAATAAATATAACATATTTATAAGCAGAACTAAAATTTACAAGCAACTGAATGTGCTTGGGTAGAAAATTGGTTTTGCTTATGCCCAAAGACTACAGCATAAAATTTAAGCCGCTTTTTTTTTTTTTTTTAGTAATGGCATTTGATGCAATGGCTGAGAAAACCTTCTACTTGTAAGTTACATTGATTCTGATGCTGCAAACATCAGCATTGCTTGCATACCCAAAGACAAATAATCTAGGCCAGGGGTAGACAACCTTGGCTCTTTTATGACTCGTGGACTTCAACTCCCAGAATTCCTGAGCCAGCTATGCTGGCTCAGGAATTCTGGGAGTTGAAGTCCACGAGTCATAAAAGAGCCAAGGTTGCCTACCCCCTGATCTAGGCTGATCATCTTTTTTACTGCAACTTTATTGAGATAATACTTCTGGGGAATTGGGATTAATGTGACTCAAAGGGTTACAATAGACTTAGTAAACTGGCTAAAGTTGGGTGCATGGTCTCCTGGGAATACTGTAGTAACCCAAAACAACAACTGGATGACTTCTATATAAACCCCCCTGCCTACCTCTCCCCGGTGCTGGACAATCCCCGTACTGGGACACCTCCTCATGCAGTGACATTGTCCTCCAATGAAATGAGTTCCATCCATATATACACAGAGAGATGTATTTTAAAGACTTATTACTACTATTAGGAGCACGGTGGCTCATGGTTGGGACATTAGGCTGATGATCAGTAAGCCCACGTTTGAGACCCAAATGCAGCTGTGTGGCAGGGTGAGCTCCCATCATTCAGTCCAGCTCCTAGCAGTCTGAAAGCGAGTAATCACAAGTAGGTAGATACACAGATACCACTTCAGTGGGCACACTAATGGGGATATGAAATGAGCCCGCAACAAGGTGTTCTCCGGACAATGGTGATGTCACCGGTTAAGCCTTGCAACCGAGAAGCGCCTTGGTGCTTCCGACATGAACACAAAAAACCATTTTATGTAGCCTTAAACTGCTTTTTGCTTCCTCTGGAAGAACACCCCTTCAAGCATGATGATATGATTACTAATGAACTGTCCACTAAAACAATGAATTAAATATAGATATGGAATGCCTCGTAAGTCCTCATCTTTTCCTCTCACAGATATGTGTTACAAAGTCAAACTGTATCAGCTGCCCCGTTTTACGAACCGCACTACTCTTTTGATTGTCAGACAGTTGTATTTGTGTATTCATCTTTTTTTCTTCCCATTTAAAATCCTCACCACTGTTTTTCTTTTTGTTTTGGACAGAGATGCTTGGTGCAGCATGTGTGAGAAATGGCTCTCAATGCCAACACAGCCTTTTATTTGCACTGTATGTGTTCTCAGTACTTGGCAGTTCAACGCACGATAACACTGCAGTAATGAAAGGTCTTGGAATGACGCAGAAAATGCATATATGATAGCTCATTCCTTCATACTAATGG